GCTGCTCACAGCAGGCTGGCTGGGACAAAGCCAGCACTCCAGGGCATGTTGGGCTGGCTCCACACCCTGCTCTAATTAGTCCTTAGGCAGCACTGTCCTCTCAACACTCACTCAATGAACACACCCAGGCAATTTCTCAACACACAACTGTCTACTTCTCTTACTGAGAAGTTGCCAATCACAAAGCACAAGGTAAACTGACAAGGACCAACAGTGCATCAACAGGAAGGAAATAAATGAATGAAAATCAATTGTGTCTCTTTCTACACGCACATCCCTCTCTAAAGCTGTCTACTATGTAATTAATACATGCATTCAGGGTGAAATGAATTCAGCTTCAAACCTGGGAGTGACGATCTTACTCTGTCCACTATCAATGGCATCTCCGACCAGACTGTAGCCCTAATGCAAGAGGTCATAACAACTCTGAATCTCAAAAACTTGGCCAAGATACATTTCAAAATGCACCAACACAAAACAAAACAAAAATTCAAAACTTAGTTTAAAAAACTGACAGTTTTCCTAATGATGGCCCATTTGACAAAACAGAACAGAACAGTTACAAAACACAGAAGGTGCCAAAACTCTCAGATACAGCTAGGTCTTATGAGAGATGAATTAAACTAGGGCACTAATGTTATTCATAAAGAATAATCTCTAACATAAAGTGGCCTGCTGAGCCTCTGAAGGATTCACAGCACTCTGCCGGGTGAAAGGACCATGATGCCACCTTCTCCCCACCGCCTGCCCATACTGTACACCAAGGGAAAAAAGAGCAGCCAGAATCAAGGCTTCAGAAGCACAGTGAGCTGAAAGCAGAGTGCCCTAGAGAAAGAAGCCCAACAGTACACAAGCTGACAAGGTTCTGCCACAGAACCCTCAAAAAAAATCAATGCAAGGTCTTCAGAAAAAGCCTCCACAAGTTATATCAGGCTGACTCTAAGGTTAGGAGGCGTTCTCACAAAATCCAGTAACTAGGAAGGAAGCAGCAGCTAAAATAAAACCAATGGGTGGACTAGAAGGAAATAATATTAAGTGATAAGACAAAGAAGAATGTCAACATTGTAAGCAGGATACAGGAAAATAAATAAGTAGGGCTGATACCCAAACGAAGGGGAAGCATAAGGGGAAAGGAAAGGAGCCCACTTAGAAACTCATCGAAACTGCATCAACTTTAACCCAAAAACAGAATCAAATATGAGGGTCTGAATAATTCAGGTGCTGCCAGAGGGAAACCATTCATCCTGGCTTGGACAGAGAGCTGTCAGGCCATCCACTTGGATGCCAGCACCTCCCCACAGAACATCTCCACCCCATCTCTGCAATGCCTGCTGAGGGGCAGTGAGAGTGTAAGTCCCCACTGTCCCTGCCCTAAACTAGTAATCAAGTCACTGTTACATTAGGACTGTTTGTATAATAAACAGTCAGGACACCCACTTAGTATATCTAAGTACCAATACCATCCAAGGGTGCACTTTCACTCACTTGAGAAGTACTAGAATGTAAAGCTCACATCCTCACAATGAAGACATTCAGTTTCCTGCCAAATGTAATGATTTCTACCAGATGAAGATGGCTGGGCAGCTCACCAACAGTTTAAACAATAGTTCGTATCTTACATATGAATAATTGACTCTACCAGAGTCAGAAATTACATTAAAATAGAAGTAATTTTTTTCCATTTTCAAATCTGTGCATGATGTAGAAAAGGAGTTGATAGAAAAGTGGTGAGGGATATTGATGCATGCAATATTTTTAATATTCATGGCTTGACATTTGGGGATCTTGTGTAGGAGACATAAATGGGAAGCTAGAGGAAGGCAAAAACCAACTGAACAAACTTTAGGAGCTGAAAAATGAAACAAGGATCTCAGAAGACAATAAAAATACATCAGAAAGATCCTGTCAACAACAAAATAGGCAACTCATGGCCAATTAAATGGTATTTCAACAAGTTCTCACTTATTTTTAAATGTAATTTCTGAATAGGTAGTAACATATATTCAAACATTTTTTAAAAAGATAAAACAGTATACTTTGAGACATCTTCCTTCAACTCTTATTCCCGCTCCTCCTTTTGGCGCCTCACACTGCCCAGTGTCATTAATAATTTCTTGTGCTTCTTTCCACTTTCTTTGAACAATTACAGACACAATGATATATTTGTATTGTCCTTTCTAACAGAAAATGTGTGTGCAAATATATACATGTGTGAGTGCAAGTGTTTATACATTTTTTTATTGTAAGTGCATTCATTTTTACTGCCTCGAGTGTTATTTAACCAGGCCCATGCTGGTAGATCTTTATGTGGTTTCCAATGTTCTATTTCAAACAATACCGTACTATATATGATCTCCTATTAAGTCATTTTGCCCACGTGTGATTATAACTGAATGATAAAATCCCAGATGTAGAATTACTGGTTTAATGAGCACATGCATTTTTAATATTAATCAATATTGCCAAATTATCTCCTTCAAAGATTGTATCAATTGATACTCTTACCAGAAATGTATGAGTACCTGCTTCCTCATAAAATTGCTAACTGTGTTATAAAGCTTATTAATTACTGCAAAACTGACAGGTAAAAATATACCTAGTGAGCCCCAAATGTCATCGCTAGTGCCCACATCAGCAGTTTGGTGCTGCTGATTCTCAGAACACCACAGAAGGTGAGAGAGGCAGAAAAGCAGGGGCTTGTTTGCAGGGAACTGTACAGAAACACTCAGGACTTCCTTTACAGTATTGGGGGCCATGCAAAGGAGTTTAGTTTTGTTTTATTTCTTAATGTTAATCCTTTCTTCAGTTACATCTAGACTTTGAGTCAGACTTTAAACAGTTCTCTCCACACCAAGGCTAAAGAGAAATTTCCTTGTTTGATTTTTCTTTTTATAGTTTCCTTTTTTATATTTAAATATATGCTCCATTTGGAATGATTTCATTTTTTCTGGATGAATATGTACTTTTCTCCAAAGCATCTATTCAACTATCTTTTCTTCTACATATTCGATGACACTCACAATACACTAGATTCCTGCAAGTGTCTAGGTCTTTAAACCTTTTCATTCTGCTGGGCTGGTTTGTCTACCCTCCTACATGTCAGCATCATGGTGTCCTAATTATTGAAGTCTTACAACTGCCTTAAAAATTTGATGATACATTTAATCATGAGACACAAAGAGTATTATCCTAAAAGATATGAAGACTGATTAGACTGCACGTGAATGTTTTCCGAAGTGAACTTCTGATCCTGGAACAAAAGGAAAACCCAAAATGTATGTAACGCTGAGTACAACTGAGAACATGCACAATTACCAAATCCAGGGAAAACTGTAGTCCAGTCCTTTCAGAAACCATTTTACACTTTATCTTAGAAGGAGCTAAAACTATAGTGCAGAAACACATAGAATACATTATGTACAAATAGCCCAGATTGGATCTCACATCACTGACCTCCACTCTCCTGGCCTGCAAATCACCTTCTCTTCCTTTTTTACTTTTTCATCAAAGGGAACTGTTCTTCATGCAAAACTGCTCCTTACACAGAACTTGCCAACTTTTAAAAGTCCAAATACGCTTCTATTTTTATAAATAATTCATCATATCCAAACATGTGGCATTGTTTCAGCACTTTATATGCAACACTTTGTCTTTGCTATGCAGAAAATGTGTTTGTCAAAGTTAAAAGCTTTTTATCACAGCCTCAGGAAAGAAAGCTGAGGTTTCACAAATGTCTACTAGGCATCTCTCTCCTTCCTCTGGACTTGGGCTGCAGCTCCCGTTGACCTCACTGCATGTGAATTATTGTGTGCACTGTGACGCAAAAGCCTGGGCATGGGTGCCAAAGAGTGTATTCGAATTACATGGGAAAAAAAAAAAAAACAATCAATCAAATGAAGCTTCAAGTTATACCAGCAAAACTCTGCAACCACTTTATTTCATTTTCTCTTTCCCTTTGGGAAAATTAAAATATATAAAGATCATTTTGCTCATTTTCTCCCACTTTGACACCTTCACTTACTTATTTCACTCATTAGGCATCATGTGGTTGGCAATATCTAGGCACTGAGGTGAAGAAAATGAATAAAACGTGCCCTACAAGGAACACACTGGCCACTGCAACATGGACACAAACGCGAACGATCTCGAGCACCAGGTTATGTGGAAATGCAGATGAGAGGAAAATAACAAAACATGGGGAGGAAGGGAGTCCAGGACAAGCAGCTGACCGGAGGGAGCGTTCCATCAGAGAAGATAGGGTGACCCAGGACAGACAGAAGTTTACCAACTACAAGCAACATGATGTACAGAGAGAGTAGGAGGCAGAAGGCAAACGCACAAGCTCTACAGGAACATGCTAAGGAGCTCAACAGAACCCTCTAGGCAACGGAATGCCACTAAGGCATGCTGTATCCCACTTGTGACCCTTCTTCCAACAGTCATTCATTAAGATTTGCCCTCACTGCTTTGTGTCTTATCTGGATACATCAGATGGCAACTCTGCAAGCAAGGAACAGGTTGGTCCTGACATATTTATTGCCACAATTGAGCAGTAACTAGTGCATAACAGAAACTCAATACACATTTGTGCATCACATCATCTACCAACCCTGTGCTCCTGGCACCTACCACTTCCCTCATACAAAAAAGATGACCTCCATAACGAAGATGTCCATCTTTCATCTGCCAGGTGCTCGCCTCCCAGTCACTTTCTGCAGGAGCCCCACCACCACCACATCATCATCCTACTTCACATTTCCTGAATCCTGGCCCCTTGTTCCAGTTCCTCTTCTTCAGCAAATAATCATTCTCAAGGCTGGCCTCTATGGTGAAGAAACCACCACCATCCACCAGCAGTTATGAGGTTCTCTCCCATCTTTCCTTTACCAAAGATTAAAACTGCCCAGGACAAGTTCACCTACCATGAATTCCCCCCCAACAACTCAAAGGGTTTTCTATGGACCACGGCCACTAGAGACACACTGGCTGCTGAAACTTACTTGACCTCTGGGGCACCTGGCCTCTTCTGTCTTGAGGTTCCTCTTTTGAGATCCATGGCAAATTCTGTTCCATATCACCTCCTCCTGCTCAGACCACTCCTGTTCAGGGCATTCCCCAGTTCTTCTTCCTTTCTCTATCACGTCTGTCCTTGCCCTCTTCTCACTTCCACCGTTCATTTCCAATTTCCATTCTCCACTATTACCTTGGTGCTAAGGAGTCACAAATCTATTTGTAATCCGATTCATGCCACAGCATTCTGGAGGGCTGTCCTTTCATTCCTCAAGCTTTAGTGGAGCCCTTACATTGCATCAAGATATTGTTCAACCATCAACTCTACGTGTGTGTCGACTGGGGTGTTCAAAGTTCACATGAAGCATCTACATAGCCTCCCTATGGTTATCCAATCCTATGACTTTAAATGCCGGTATTACAGTTTCTACTCTCCAGTCTGGTCAGTCTTCTGTTTCTAAATTTTGTATGTCTAACTGACTTTTTCACATCTTCTATACCAGCACTGTGCAGTAGGCAGGCAACCCAGCCTTTTCACTGCCAGCCCCAAAATCTGATCCTAGTGCCGCCCATGCTCTTCTGCAGGCCTCTCCCTGGAAACAGCGCCACCAGGTAGCATTCTTTCCTGCAGACACCCAGGCATGCACACTGAGTCCTCTCCGCCTTTGCTCCACATGTCCAAACCACCTGCTGTCTCTGAACACCTCCCGTGCCCCCACATTTCACTGTTATCCTAACCACCCTAACCTGAGTCACCTGCATCTCCTGTCTTGACAACTGTAGTGGCCTCTGTGGTCTCCCTACTTCCAGGACAGGATGAGTTTCGGAGAGAAGAACACAGCCCACAACAGGCTCTGAACCTTCCAAGAGCTCCCCTCAGTATGGGGAGTAAAATACAGTTTTCCCTCTGACTTACAAAGCCCTGCTCTGGCCCATCTGCCTCTGTGGCTCCGTTACATTCCAGCATTCTGCTTGGCTCTGAGCTCCAGCAACAAGGCCTTCATTCGGCCTCCAGCCCAGAGTAACCTCTGCCTGGAGCAGTCTGTTCTGTGCCACTCAGACCCCTGTTTAACTGTTCCTGCCCAGAGTCACCTTCATAGACAAACTGAGTCCGCTCTCAGTTTTTATTCACTGCCCAGCTCTTTTGATTTTTTTTTCTTGTTTGTTTCATTGTCTACATTATTAAATAGCAGCTACCACATAAGCTGAGATCCCTCCTACCTAGGACTGTGCAGGACACACTCTAGGTGCTCAATTCTGATACCTTGTTCTCTGGCCATTGCCCAGTGGTTTCAATCCAGAAACTAAGGAGTCCAGCATCTCCCACGTGTACAGTCAATCACACAGCCATGTTACTATCACTGTCCACTATTGCTTCTAACTTCTTCTCCCTGACTTACCAAGTATGGTCCCTGTCTGAGCTGGGCTCCTGTTGATGACTCTGCCAGAAATCAGCCACAAAGAATACCAGCCGTACCAGGAAGGTGGCCTTCTTGCCTGCTCAGTCCTCAGAGCACTGTTCTTTGTAAAGGGTCCTTGGCTAAGCCCAGCCCTTCGCCACTGGGACCCCGGTCATACTTCAACCTGCAGCTCCTGAGGTAGCTTTACCAGGCCTGCAAGGTCTCCAGAGAACCCTCCCCTTCCCACCCTCAACCTTTAGCCAGGCCTCCCTGCTGAAGTCCCTGCACACAGGGTGTCTGTCCTCACTGGCCCGGAAGCCACCTCGCCAGCCCTATTGGTGAGCAGGTGAGTGAACCCTTGTCTGTCTCCTAAAGCAGCATGCCTCTTGGGAGAACTGGTTTTGTCTCACATACCTTTGAATCCTGGGCCCCTAGAACACAGAGCAAGCTTCCCACATATGCTCATAAATTTCTAGGTGCCCCAGAGAAGTACAACATTTCATTTTGTTTGAGTCACTTTTCATCTTCACATTTCTTCTCGTACATAAGTATCTTTGTATATAAATACCTTCTACATATATCTCAGGCACTGTCATATTTTCAGAGATATAATCAAAGAAGCTTGAGTCTCGGGCTCCCACTGCCCTGAACTCTACAGAGGGAAGATGAGAAAACAGGTATGTCAATAGAGCAGGACAAGTCCAGAAGTGGCAGGTGCTATAGGTAAAGAGGAATGGCATGCACCTGCTATCGTTTTTCCAAGATCCTGAGTTGTTCAGTCCCTGGGAGTTTTCCTTTAGACAGACATAGAGAAAAGATCAACTGCAGGAGCTTCATTTATGTTTTAAAAGGAAATTAAAATGTTCTGAATGACAACTCAGTTTTCCTTCTAAGAGAAAAAATTCCTTTTACGTGAAAATTATTTTTTTTCTCCCCTCAGACTGCATGGGCCATTTTTAAACAAACAAGAATTCACAATGCATTAACTGATGAAATATTTGCCACATCACGTTTAGCCTGCTTTACAGGAAACAAAATATTTGCTTCTACTGCAAACTATCCACTGCAATGCATTACTTCCCTAGTGGGACAGGAAAGGGGTTGGTTAGGTGCAAAAATTACTTAAGGCCAGTCTCAGGTGAAGATGGCAGAAGACACAATCTTTTAATGATGCGACTCCTTTTGATTTAAACTCTTAGGAACTATCTCTGTCCATATAGGTTTTTTTTCTCAAAATAAAAGTAGAATTTCATAGAATTGAATATTAAAAACCTAAATAATCCCACCCAGTTTAAATAGCTCTGCTCTTTGGACTGATTAGCCAGCCAAAAGACAGCTCACCCCTCCATGGATAGTTGATGACACTGCCCACACCCAGCGTGGCAGGAATTCAGTCTTACTTTGCTGGTCATCTGCTAGAGCATCTATGTTGGCACATCATATCCAGTGGGGAAACAGTTACCATCTCGGCCTTACACTGTGTAGGTCCTCACCTACCAGCTATCAGCTGGCTGTCCACCGACCTACATCCATTTCTAGTATCGTGGTGGGGGTCTTGTTTTCCTCGACATACTCAGCTTCATGGAGCCCATAAAAGATATATGAAATGTGAAGTCTAGTGTAGCTTGTAAGAGTTAAGCATATTTGCTCTTAAGAGGAATTATATTTACCTCAGCCTGTTCCAGTGTTGGCCACACAGTTCTCACATCTCAGGAGACAGAGTAAGGGTGGCTGGTGATGGGTGTGAACATACTTAACATCCTCAATGCCTGCAAACATGCATTTTCTGTTTTGAATATTTGAGCAATACACAGTAAATTGTGTCTGAAGAAATCTGCACTCCATATTTACAAATCTTTGCTATCTTATTTTCCTGTCTTTGTAACCTTCTTGACCAACCTGTTCTGCTTTTTCTAGATGTCTGTGTGTCATTTAGCACAGCTTACTGGTAAAACATAAACATGACAGAGATCTGGGGGAACTTATGGCTTCTAACCACCCTTAGGGTTGTTTTCTGAACTCATCCTCAAAATTCTTCTTCCAGATGTGTGCCTCATGAACTCCCCTCAGCTGCATCCCTCCAGCCAGGACACACTGGGGCAATGACACTGACTACCCGGTGCAGACAGCCTGTGTTATCTGATCCAAAAGGCTAAGTGCAGTCCATACTGGCCTTGGCCAGCACAACTTCTTGGCTCAACATTGTACATACACTTCACATTGCAAAATGGATTCACTGGATTGCTCTGGCACACCTGATCTCTCCAATTTTATTTTTATTTATTTATTTTTTTGGTACTGAGGATCAAACTCGGTACCTTGTATTTACAAGGCAGGTTCGGTGCTACTGAGCTAAATCCTGGGCCCACAGTTTTGAGCAGCAACACCCACAGGAATGAACTGTGAAGCTGGGTGAACAACAAAGAGTCCACAGGTCAGCAGATGACAAGAAATAAAGCCAGGAATTGCCTGATAAAGACAGAGTGAGTACATCAGGCATGTCGACCATTGGCAACTTGTAACACTGAACATTTACAATCATATCCACTTCGGAGCAGTTCCTTCTTCCCTACCAGTTGGCAAACTCAGGATAGGTTCTTCTATTTGGCTTGAGACTCTGGGGCCTGGCCAGGACAGGACTTGGCATATGACAGTAGCTTTTGATAAGTATTTAGTGCTTGATGGAGTGAAACTGTGGATTAGTGTGCACCAAAATGCAAAGTTAAAATAAACAGGCACGGAATTAGGGTACTGTACCTTCAATATATGATTTTATTTTTCATAACAAAAATGAAATAGGCATTTGTACAAACTATAATTGGACACAGCAGCCTTTATATGAGGACTTGTTTGTCAGATAAAGAAATCAAACTAAAAGACAAAAAGGGAATAAACACTCAATACTCAGACACATCTGTATACATTTGGGAAATTTTATATTTTTATAGAATCTAGAATTTGTTTTCAAAAAGGGTTATTTTTAATGAAAATATCAGAAAAGTCAGCCAAGCTTCAGGTATTGTAGTAGTTGAGAGGAAGGTGGCTTTGTATGTACCAACAGACAGAAAGATTCCAAAGAAGACCCAGAGGTCAGAGCAGAGAACAGTCTCCCGCTTAGGATCAATCTTCTCTTCCCCTCCTTGTGTGAGGAGGGTCTACTAGTAGATGATGTTTAAAATACTTTAGTAAGTACTACCTTAGTAGAGTCCCAAATGAGGCTTGGGAGCCTTTGGCTCCTGTCCAAACCAAACCCCAGGCTGTTTCTGGGGTCGGGGGCACAAAGTGGGGCCACTCTTGCCATGGCTGGCCTCACTTCCAGAGGCTTCCACTTCTCCCAGGTGAAACTGTGTGCAGAGTGGATACTTTCAAGACCCACTTCTCCAGGTGTCCCGTCTTCCTAAAGCAAAAACCCAGCTAAGGGCCCCTGGAACAACTTAAGCTTCTCTCCTGAGCTGTTCTTCCTTCTCCAAAGCATCCATCACAATGCCAGCCCCACCTGAACAGGCAGGCAGCAGTCAGAGCAGCATACAGAAACTCCTTCATCTACCTAGGATGTGTTGCTTCCATATGCTTGCACTTCTGCAACTCTATACCATCATCTGCCCATAAGTATCTATCACCCAAGGTACAGCTCTCATCATAACCCCCCCCACACACACACACACACCATGAGTTGCCAAGGAAGACAGGAGACACTTATTTTGGGAAGAAGGAATTCAGGAATGCACCAGGAAGGGAACCCCAAGCAACTCCAGTCCTATCCTAAGCCTTAGGTGGGGCTCCAGTTCTAGTCTCTATGAGTCAGTAAAAAATGTCTCTGCTAGCCAGATCTAAGGGCAGTAATCAAGGCCACAGCTCACCCCATTGGTACCAGATTCATATCACTTTTCAATGCATTATCCATGGGTCCTGAATTCCAGGGACACCCAAGGCAGGGTGGAGAGGCAATACCTGGTAGAAGGCATAGGGCCAAGAGAAGCTGGAGCAAAAGGGCCCATGCCCTCAAGGCCAATCAAGTCAAAAGGGTAGGTACCAAGCAGAGAACCACAGGCAGCTAAAGCCCACACAGGGCTGTAAAAGAGGATACTGGGCCACTTGGCCACTGTGAGCCATACCAGGGAAGCAGTATTGTAAAAGATAAGAGACCTTCCTGTAGGAACACATCGGCATACCTGGTGGCTGCACCCCAAAGGTGAATGGGCAATGGGCACTCCAAGTGCCCTGAAAAGCTCTGGCCACGAGGAGGGGTTCAACCCCGTGTGTCCTGGAGCAGCAGGGGCTGAGAAGTGAACTGCCATTGGAAGTGGGAAGCCTAAACAGCAACCTGAAGGAGATTTCGCTGGGAGAAAAGCGCCCTGGAAACGCGGTTCGAGAGCGAGGAGCAAACAAAGGCTTGGGTGCGCACGCGGCAGACGGCGGCACAAAAGCCACGCTTAGGGCCTAGGGCAGCCGCGCCCGCCAGGGCTGACGCCCGAGTCGTCCGGTGCCCCACAGGCGCAGCCTCCCGGACCATGACGCGATCCACCCGGCCTCGCCTCGCCCCCTGCCGCCCTGTCCTCCCGCGCTCCCTCAGCTCGCCCGCCATCCACGGCAGCAGCGACTCCCTCCTGTGTGCATCCGGCGCCTCTTCGTGCTACACAGCCAGCTCACCTCCTTGTTCTAGAGAAGCTCTGACTTTTTTGCCTGATCTGGTCCCCCTTCCCCCGTGGCTTGCCTCCTGCCGCCCCTACCCCGCGCGCTCTAAGCCCGGCACCCGAGGGTGGCAAGGCAGGGTAGTCAAGCAACGATCGTCCCGCGAGTAGGAACCCGCCGCACCTTCTTCTTCCACGCTAACATCCCATTGTCCTTTCTCTTTCTTTACCGACTCGAATATGCTAACCCTCAGTGTCATGGGCATCAGATGGACGCTGAGTGGGGGCACGTCCTCTCCACCGTGGCGCATATATTTCTACCCCGACTCCAAGCTCTACAACATGGTCACTGTGGGAAAGGGGCGCCGACAGCCTCCACATTTGGAAGCTCCTGGTCTGGGGTCCGGCCTACCCTCGCCCCGGTCACAGAGACCTAGCAGGAGGGTCACCAGGAGGGAAGGAAACATGTTTACTCTAGCCAAGGGGTCAAAGGCTGCAGAAAACCAGGAATCTGTCCTAAGTGGGGACAAAGTTGCAAGTATAAATACGTCCCTGGCCCTCGTGGCCAGAAACAGCCCGAGGGCCCGGGACGAGGTGCAGGTCCCATTTACAC